GCAAACCATTTACCATTCACATCCTGCATTGGTGTATGAAGATAAACCTTGTGCAACATTCTTTGGAAATACCGTACTTATGATTATGCCAAAAAAGCAAATTCGTATTAACGATGCAATTGTAATGCACTCTCTCAGTAACCAAAAGTGTAACTCCACGTAGAAGACACTGGACAAACTGGTCAAAGGCCCACACACGCATAAAATGACATGCAAATAGAAAGAGGTGTACGCCACATGCGTAATGCACAAGGTCTCCTGTTATCAACGCACAAACAGGCCCCGCACACACACACAGTTCACCAACCGCCAGTGTCTATGATGAGCAGGCAGAAAGGAGAGCCTCTCCGGGCATAAATATGTCCAGCGTCAAGATATACAGCCAGCACTTCCATCTCCGGTTGAAGCCTCGTCGATTGCTTTTTTGCCCCTTCCAATACACACACAGACAAAAGCATGGCATTGCACATGTGCATGCACAGCACTGACATATGAAATACACACACCCGATGAGGTGGGGTCAAAGAAGGGATATATAACAAAGTGAAAATTACCTCTCAGTTTAATTGAGGATTATGCAAACACTTCCAGCCATTGTGCGTTGATGCCTTGTGCAGCTGTAACCTACAACCAAGGAAGCTATCTGGACGTCCACACCAGAACCAGGATACACTGTGATCATTTAAAGCAGATATCATCTTAAAATGTTTCACTTTTTTTTATTCATTAGTATGTCTATATGTAAATCAAATCTGATATATTTTAATCCTGTGTAATATTTTTCGATGATATTGAAATGTCATGTGTGACCATGTGTGACCTGATCAACTGCTTCTACCACCAAAAGGCAGCCTGGTCTCACTCCCACGGTGTAGTGTTAATGGTGCGAAGTACTGAGGGTGAAAGTGAAGGTTGGTGGATGGTCAATCAAAGAGGACTTTCACAACGTTCCTGTCCCAGATGAAACCCACCGTTTGATTTTTACTGACGTTATGTCACGTGACGTTACACCACAGTCACAAGAAAAATGTGATGTTTTTCTTCACCCCTACTAAATTGTTTTTATTTTGCTAAACTGCCACAATTTATCAAAGTTAAACACGCGTTACAGCATTAACCGTGACCGTTTCACAACGTTAACCTCACGCCAACCTTCCGCGTCAAGATACCATGCAAAAGCTGCCCAAGTGGCAAAATATGACGAGTAGGGATAAGATCAGGCTGCAACAGGACACATTTAATCCCATTTTATCTTTATTACAGAATGCGTAATGTATGGCAGGGCGTCTGTATGAATCACACCATATTCAGTTACATAAAAAGGTCAGTTTCACTCTTTGTAATTACCTGTATCTAAGCACCTTCACAGTTAATTCACATTTTAATTCATTATAAACAGAACATTTCACAAAACACAACAACATTAAACAACGGGACTTAACTGTTGTGTGAAATGTTGTGTTCTGACCCTCATGGCCAACGTGGACAAACTTTTTTCTGCTTTATAATTTCTGAGAGAGCAGAAGTCCATGAACTTGATGATGTGAACACAGCAAATGCACATCAAAGTTCCAGAAACTTTAACTCTCTAAAATGCCAAAATGACTATTGTGTGATAGTCATAGAGCTTGCTCGGTGCTCAGAAAGTTGTTCAGTGTCAGTGTTCGGCAACTCCGACAAAAACACCTCAGAAGCGGAATAAAATCCCTAAAACGCAGCAGTCAAGAAAGCTGATGCACACTCTCCAACAAACACAGCATGACTAATCCCTCCTCACAAATGACAAGGCCGAGTCATCTTACACACAATGAATGGTCTCCCTCTAACTGACTTCAAAGCGAAGCATTTGCCACAACACGGACTCGAGTGATGGAACCGCATTCTTGTCAGTGACGCACATGGTTAACTAAACAAGCAATTTCAGCATGGCAGCATTTGCTAAAAAAGCTTGATGGGGCCAGCTAAGCTCCAGTGATTGGCCTTTGTGTGTGAAAGTGACCACTTAAGTGCTGCGCAGCCCCTCCTGTGTTTGTAGGCATAAGCACTTCCTCTGACTTTTTGCCTGCTCGCGCTGCCTGTTTGTGTGTGTCCTAGACTAGAGAATGTGTTGCTGTGTGTGTATGTGTATGTGTGTAGAGTACATGCTCACTGGTGCATTTGCGGTGTTTTTTCTGTGGTGTGTATTTGTGTGAGAGCGTCCATGTGTGTTGCCTTGACGCATTGTGGTGCTGAGAAGTGTGTTTGCAACATTTCATACAAGGTTTTTTATGCCCCATGTTTAAAATGACTGCAGTTAAGCAGCTTTTGGAAGCGAGACTATTCACAGATGCACAGACCCATTCCCCGACCCAAATAGTGTCGACAAACAAAATACGAGTCATTTAATTTTAATATAATGTGTTATTTTCTTATTTTAAGGTAATGCCCCTTATATTCTTTAACTTATTGCGTTACCACATTTTACATCTTTTACATGAGCAGTATTCACTTACCATGTTACACCTACGATCTCAATCCGACTGGTTTCTTTGTGCTGCACTTGCTGATGACAAAAATAAGGCCAAACGCCCCTGAAGGATTTCCCCAAAAAGGAGTGAAGATGTCTGAAGTACAGGCCTGGCAGAGCTAACCGGAAAAGATACCCAAACGTTTGCTGATGTCTTTAGGCCAGAGACGTCAGTCAGTCAATACCTGCAAAAGGATTATGGCACCAAAAAGTCAAAACGCCACCACAGTGATCCAGACTGAAGTATCTCAACTATTGGATGATGTGGATTAAAATCCTGTTCGGTGTAGACCGCTGTTCAAGTACAGCCTCACAGAGCCGCTGTAGTGCATCTGTAGACTCAATGGCAAGTTCACGCTGCACCACTTTGACATGAAACGCTTACTCAGAAAAACACACGTGAGAAATGACGTATTCATGCTCGTTGATGTTGGTGTTGGCACGTGTGTTCAAATAATAACCTGTTTCCACACGTCTTTACTGAGATCAGTCCCTGTGTTATGTGTATTCATGCACACCTCCAACAACCTCGGTGCAACGGCAACTTTCGTCTGTGTTGCAAACACAGCACACACACACACGCACACACACACACAGGTGCAGGCAACCTAAATTTAACCTTCATTTAAAAATAAATAAGGTGTTGCTGTACACAGCGGGGACTGCTGTGGTGCCTTCCAGTGAAAGCTGCTCATCCAGCACTTACACCCAATAAGTTTCACCTGCTTCATTCCCATAACTCATCCCCGTTATAGGGTCATAGTCTGGGTGAGTCCTCACACAAGTGAATACTTTGATATCGATCCATAGAGTAAAAAAGATGTTGGATCTAATGTTCAAATTGGGATGTCACAGTGTTTGCTAGACATGTGAGATGTTCATTTTTCCTAGTTTTAGTTCTTCTTCTTGTTTCTGTAATGAATGTGGCAAAAAGCCTGCCTGGTTCTCTGACCTGTAGTTAAAGCTGAACAGGCCTCATTGAGAGATAATTTCCTTCTTGCCTACAGATTTGCTGCCACTGGTTCCTGGGAGGGGAGTCCCACTGGTGGCCCATTATTATTTTATGAATCCCCTAGCTGCGACAAGACACAGTTACAACATATTAAACATGTGCACACAGAGTGATGCATTTTTTACACACTTTGTATAAGCTATTTACATAATTGTCACTGTGTGCACAGAGTATTATTTAACATATTCCAATATATGGTGCTCTGCTTCCTTCCCTTAAAGGCTACTTAAATATTTTCGGTGTGTGTGTCTGTGTGCGAGAGAGAGAGAGAGAAGAGAGAGAAGAGAGAGAGAGAGAGAAGAGAGAGAAGAGAGACAGAGAAAGAGAGAGAGAGGTGTTCATTGTCAGTGAAGGGCGAGTCCTTCAGCAGACGGGGTCAGTGCTCTAATCTGAGGAGGTGATGATATTGTGAGGATATTTAATGAGAGGATAAAAGCAAAAGCGAGAGGGGGGGATGAGTATTAGCCTTTTTAGATATCATTAAACATTAACACTGTCAGGGGGCTGGAGCACACTGGGGTCCTTTTCATTGACTTTCATGCTGCGTGCTAATAGAGTTTCACCTCTGGGGACCTTCAACACCCCCAACCCGGCCCTCGGTGCACGCGCTGAAGCTTAGAGCAGATCACATCGCCACCTCGCGTCAGAGGATGAGCTTAATGTGTGTGTGTGTGTGTGTCTTTTAGTTGTGGATTATGTGAGGTCATGCACTCTCTCTTGCTGCCTTTCGGTCTTTTGCTCACGATGTATGACATACGCATATTAGAACTATTCTAAAACTATTAAAGGCCCCTGAAGGGACTTGCTTATATTAACCCAGGACTTAATCCTGAGAAACACTTCAGATACTTTCCTACATAACGTCATTTGTGTGTGCATTTCCAGAGTGATGCTTTAATTTGAAATATTTAGCAAATTACTTTTGCTCTTATTTCAAGTATTGGTTCGTTTTAGACTAAAGACAGGGAAACAGTGTCATTCTCATACTAGTTCTATTGTATAGAACCCTGTTCATGTTCCCTTATTAAGAATGCAGTTCAATACGGCTGCAGCAATTCTTTTTTATGATCTATCAATCTGCTGGTTCTTTTCTCAATTCATCATTTCACCTTTAAAATGCCAGAAAATAGTACAAATGCCTATTGGAGCTTGCCAAAGGCCAAATTGATGTCACTTGATTGCAACAAATACGTCAATAGTGAATAGTGTTTGTCACGTGAAGCACCAACAGAGGGCAGTGGTACCCTCCGAAACAGACGAGGCTCAGCAGCTCATACTACCTCAAACCCTGCATGTGTGTGCATGTGTGTGTGTTTAGGCGTGTGTGTGTGTGAGTGTGTGTATGTATTGATTGTATACAGCTGGGTGTGGCTGTGGTTGAATGAGACTCTGTGGTATTTGGGCAGATGGAGATGGAAGGAGCTGTTGCTGTGATGTGAAGTTGCTAACACCAAAAAATTAATATATGGATCTCATTCACAGGAATTCCTCGCCTCTCCTCTCCTCTCCTCTCCCCCGGAGCGCTGTCTGTCAACAACTCAACTGCAAATTGTAAGAAACATTAGCACGACTTGCACTGATGAATCATTCAGTACATTTGCCTGTATTCAAAACCCTTCATGCCTTCACTTCACTCAATATGATAACGTAACAATTCACTCCAACAGCAGAGGGGTGGATAGTGTGCTTCCACTCATTCAGTGTTGCCTGTAAAGCAGTGTTGTCCTTTCTCCAACAGATCCGCTGAATCCACTTCAACAACTAGTTTGGTCTAATCCCTTTCTGCTGGGCCGGCGCAGCAAAGTAAGTGGTCATGTTGAATTTGATTCTAAAGATCACTCATTTCTTTAAAAAGGTATACGTCCTGGAATTTAATGCTCTTCACCCTCAGCTTCTATTTGTAAAATATTTCAAAACCAATGCAGGTCCGCTGAATTGCTGAGCACATTTATCTACAGTGGATATAAAAAGTCTACACACCTTAATGAAATTGCTGGTTTTTGAAAAGTGAAATTGAATCTTCCAACAAGCAAGACTCCAGAGAAAAAAAGCACATTTTGTATTCATTACAGCAGCAAGTCTTTGTGAATAAGTCCAGACTATGGAATTACATCCCACTCATCTTTGCAAAAATGTTCAAGTTATTACTTTTTTTTTGACGGATGGTGGGGTATAAATGGGGGGGGGTTATGACATGCCACAGAGATCACTGCGGTTGGAAAGCATGCTGTAAACACTCCGCTACATAGATGCTCAACAGCACGATATTTTAGGTTTCCGATTTTCTTAGATCCGCTGCTGATTCGGCTGATCCCTGACTTGTGACCCCGTCACGTGACTGCACTTGTTACCAATCATGTTTTCGTCTCTTAACCCTGTGATCTGTTTAGGCCCATCAGCCAGACGTCTGGTCTCCCCATTCTGCTGGAAGGCTGCCAGCCACAGGTCACATGACCTGGAAGAAAAAACCTGGGAGACTTTTGGGATCCCTCTTCGGTGAGACACACCCTCTTGATGTTATTGCTTGCAACACAGTATGAGGTAACATGACTGACGGGTTGCTCCATTCTGACTGAAAGGCGGTGGTTGTTTTGGACAGTCTCGGTTTTCTTAAAAATGTGTTGATCCTGTGCAGAAGCACAGGCTGTGTGATAATGTATACTTCAATACAGTTTTTGAAGCGATTTTGCGGTGCCACATCATTTTGACGATTCAAAGTAAATATGATAAAAGACATTTCTTATCCTCTGATTCAACCTTCATGTCTATCAGTTTTCTTTGGGCTTCAGCATGGGCTGGTTATCAACCTGAAGGGAAGTCTAAAGGCTGATGAACTGGTCTGTGTGCGTGTGAGACCACATTGCTCTGGTGCCCTGTATGCCCTGGGAACACAGCACCCAGCGCAAATCTGGTGAGTGACGACAAACATTTGAACCATCAAAGGTAAATTGAGTGTGCGTATTACCCCCCCCCCCATTACAGAGAGGTTTAAGCAAGCAGGTGTCCTTTGCTTTGAAGTTTTAGACTGGAGGATGGGGTGCTGAACTCAAGGCAACGTTTACTAGCAATGATACAACGTGGAAAATATGTGTAGTTGGCCATTAATAGGAGAGATGTTTAATGTTCATGTCTACACATCAAATAGTCACTGATCATTTTTTTATATCCCCTACCTCTTTATCTTCCTCTTTTCTTTTCTGAATGTTAGATAAAAGTTACAAATATACACCTCTGTCACTGCAACTTCATCTCTGTGACACAGTGTCATTTCAACTCAATCTCCCATGAGGTTTAGTGGTTTGCGTAAACATAATGGTAATGTGAACGCTTTTACCAAACTTGGCTGCAGAACATGAAACCATAACTCAACCAACTTGACATAGCAAACTACGTTATGGCAAAACCAAGGAAGACGGCTGCTAACCAATGTAATCATCCATGTAAACAATGCAGTCTTTATAAAGTATAGTCAAAAAAAAAAAGTAAATAGGTACCAGAGAAAAGTTGAAAATTGTGTTTCACAGTAAGCATCTTTTAAGACTATAGCCATGGCTGCCTGGTTGAACCAGCATATCACAATGACAGTATGTGGCGAAGATGCTATGCAGACATTCAGCATGCAGAGTTCAGCCTTCTTTAAGAGCAGGAGACCGAAAAAATAAACTAACTTTCTGACAGTTTTCTATATTTCAGTGGAGACATAATTACTGCAGCGGCAAAGTGAAAGAAGGGGCCTGTAACGGAAGTGAGAGGTAGTGTTGGAATGCAAGCGGGCATTTCTCCTGCAGATAGCAGAGGTTCAAAAACTTGAAGGCACTTTTATCAGACTTTTTTTTTTTAACCCACTCTGCCATCTCAATTTTGCCATTCTTGGAAGGTGAGACTGTGGAGTGTGGGGAGGAATTCCTTAAGGCGGACGTTACCCTTTGCCAACATAACAGCTTTTTAATTTGCTCCAGGTGTCAGAAGTTACCAAGGAAAGGCAATACTGTCAGGTTTGAGAATAGCACATCAACATCAAGTTCTAAATTATTTGACACAAAGCCATCAGGGAAAAACCAATGAAATGTTAAGTGTCAAACATTTCATTTCCTGCATTCTGGTGAATTTCTTTTGTACCAATTTATTGTGGAAATGTCTTTATCTATATAAAGGAAAAAGAAAAATCACTCGGCATGGTGATAATTTAAATATGAAAAGTATAATTGAATAGAATGCAGTAAGTTTGTCAGGGATTCTTTATTGCTTTCAAATATTTGTTATCCCTCCTGATTCAACACATGTAGGCATTAATTACTCCGCCTTTCTCTTGTTGTGTCTTCTTTACTGTCTGATACTTTCACTGAAACATCCCAAAATTAAAAAAAAAAAGGTGTTAGGGTCCAGGTAGTTCAATGCTAACGTAGTAGGAAGTATGAATTGTGATGTTTCACTTCAACACATAATAGACAATGTACCAATGGTTATGTGATTTACATAGTGGAATTCATGTCCACAGTACTGAACCCTGGTGGTAGATTCTCATGGTCCCAGTTCATGTCATGTTTTCACCAGTGACTGATGACAAAGACCTGGTTGATATGACATGTTTACATCTTATTTCCCAACATTACGACTTAAAAAGATCTCATGAATGCACCGTTAAACAAACGACCAGTGCAGTAAGGATCGAGGGAGACCAAGACCTGTCAAGGACACACCTCCATATTTGGGCAAGTATATTTCTGCCAATATTTGGTGGAGCCATTGGGACAGGACAGCATTATGACATTCAGCCTTGACATGTTGACTTTCAAAGAGGCAGGAGGCGAACTGGAACACAGTTTATTTTATCCTCTCTGAGGGATTCATCCATGTGGCTCAAATGTTAAGTTAGTTGACTCTGCAGGAATCTAAAGCTTACCAACAATAACAACAGAGGCTTGCTGAGTTAGGCTACAAGTACAGGCTGTGTACAAAACTGAACTTTTCTTATCCTCGCACATCCTGCATCTGACTCATATTTCATATTATCTCCAAATTTTCAGTTATAAATAATTCTGTTTGGTTATAAGGGAATGCACATTCATTTCAGATGGCATGCTATACATACAGTATAAAGCATTTCTTACACCTTTTTATCAAAGATGGAAAGTCAGCTTTGTCACTGAGTATTACTAATAATTATATTGCATTGCTCGCCATGATTTTCCACATCACAGTGGAGCCCCTATCTCTATCGCGGTGACTGATATTGCTTAGCTTCAACTCTGTCTTTCAATAGTTCATGTAAGCTTTGTGTCCACCATACATACTTCATTTGAGAGCACAAACATCCAAGACAGTGAGGGGGAAGGGAGGAAGAAGAAGTGTACAACTTTCCTTTTAAGTTTCTCTGCATGGACATGATGGTCTGTCTGTCGGCCTGTTTCTTATTCAAATCCTTTGAGCATGTTTGTACGTGTCTACGCATACACATCTGTGTGTGTGTTTTGACTTTTCAATACTTGTAGCGAAGCTTTATAGATTGATCCTCAGAAGAAAATACAAAAAAAAAAAATATCAAAGCTGGCTCCCTCTACAGAGCCCTGCTTTGGACTGATAGGAACCAAATCAGCAGATACTGGCTTCCATTGGTAACCCTACAGAAGAAAACACTGTGCTTTTGTAACCTCTGGCCATAATATGGCTTCCACCCAATGCTCCAAATGGACGCAGGATACGCGAGGCAGCCAATGCTCAGGCACAACCACAGATATTGATTACCTTTGATTTCATAAGCATACTGATTTTTGTTCTTTCAATATTCACACAAATGAGGATGATAGAAATAGCCGTATCTCAGAAAACATCTTTCCTCAGCGCAGTAGGATCTCAGTTGTGGCTGACAATGCTTGCTGACTTAATTGTGATCAAGATTATATCAGATCAACTAAAACGGCATTCGAAGAGTGCAGCACTCACCCATATTCATTCCAACATGGGCAATTATGCTCTGTCTCAGCAATTCCCATGCTTCACTTTGATACAGTTGCTCACATTGTAACTTTAAGTGCCCAGTACCATTGCTGTGGTCTGTGGCCTGTTGTACTAGATCACGGGTAGGCAACCTTAGGCACTGTGCCACCATTGGTATGCTGCAGCTTACCCAATGGCACCTTAACAATAAAAGTGCAAGACAGATTTCTGGAAATGTTGAAACGCTCTGTTATAGTTATGCCGAATGACCTCTTTAACTGTCATTGGCAGTTGCACGGACTGTTATTTGCAGTAGTTTGGTTGATTTTGTCCACACCCGTATTCCGCGTAGACCCGCCCTACTCTGCCACTGATTGGCTAGCACTCCTTGCCTTCCTCACAGCATTTGTTCAGTTTATTGCTGATGAACAATGGATGTTGAAGGTTGGTACAGAACCTTAATCTTGTTAAAGATTTCAAATGGATGTTTTCAAAAGAGATGGCAGCATTCTTGTTGGTGCATTCATACACACTTACAATGTCCAGATTATGGGAGAAAAAAGGTTTTTTGTTTTTTTTAAATGTTGCTTTGCACCGTGCCTATATGGATGGAGAAAAAAAAGATTACAGATCTGTTAGAGATTTGAATTTTGATGTGTTGTCATAATTAAACTTAATGTTGATATGGCACACTGATTAACAAGGACATTTAAATATTTATTCAAATCATATTTATATATAATGGCATAGACATGGGCACAGAGAGAGATTTTGTGGGTCTTGTTGATGGATGGGAGGGTTATGTACTGTGTTTTCCCAGACCACCTAATTAGGCATCATCAAAATGCATTCATAACAAATCAATCAAGGACATCCACAGAGTATACGGTATGAAAAGGATGTACAATCTAGCAAAGGGAGCAATTACAACATGTTACAATTATGTGTGTAACACACACACATACACACAGACACACTGAGGCCTGATTAATCTACCCTCTACAGTAATACTGTTTCTATGCACTAAAATGTCATAGTGCAGCTCTGCCCTCATTATTTTGCGTCCCACTCCAGCACTATCCCCAAACTGGCCGAGGACGAGCACTTAAGCAATGCAATGAAGATAAATATTATTGAGCTGGTTGAAATTTACTTTCATGACATGATCCCAGTGTCTTAAATCTAGCAAAGGGGTTTCCCAAGCTCCATCTCGCCTCTGATTGGCTAATTCTATGACTGAATGAGTTGTGATTTTGGCTGTTCTATAATGTTGCTTTTAGAGGCATTGGTCCATGCACCATGAGGTAGTTTGTGTTAGAAATATGCTTGATTTCTGCTTTTAAGAATGAACAGTGTCATCATTAATTAAACTAATGCTAAACTATTAACTATGCAGAAACTTTATGACTGGACAAAAACAATTTCACTTACACTGTGATATTAACTAAACTGAGCAGATGTTTTTCAATGAACATCTGTTTTCAATCTCTTAGATTTGATTCGGTTACATCTACCCGAAGGCCACTTGTCTCTGATCCGACTAAAGTTCCACCCACATCAGCCGCTTGACACGTGTCAAACGATGCCCAGACTGGATGTGTCATGAAGGCAGAAGGAGTAGTCACACAGTAGCAGGGATTTGTTTCAAATCAGGAGCAAATGTGATAATTCTGCAGCTTTTCTTGAAAGCTGACGGATGTCATTGAGGATTGACAGACGCCACCGGTGTGGGCTTACATAGAAAATGGATGTGGATGTTTTGACGGACGTCATCCGCTGGTGTGTGTTGCCCCTAAATTCATTGTCAAAACATCTAACAAGTCTAACAAAGAGAGGTGTCAGGACATTGATCCATGACTTTGTGAAAAAATAAAAAAAGACATTGTCGGTCCACATATTGGACAGTCTGTTGAGTAGAGTATAAGTATTTTAAGTGCATACAATCACATTGGGTTCCCAATTGAATAGTCTTTT